GTGACGCTATATCATGGATTTCCCATCAAACGACTAGTAAGTTCGTCATTCCAAGCGACTCTCTGAGCAGTCTGATTTCAATCAAAAATGACAACTCGGACTCAAGACCAGAAGTCATTTTGGAAATCAGGCAGCAGTACCATAGGGTTTTAGAGAAGGGAAGCAAAGTAGAACTCGTGTGGATTCCATCACATGTCAACATTTGAGGAAACGAGGAGGCAGATCGACTCGCCAATGAAGGGCTCAAGGACACAGCACCACTCCGCACCATAGACTACAGCACCACGGAAATCTACAGTATGGTCAAAAGACACGTCAATTCAATCTGGGAATTAAATCTCGTTGAACTTGACACATACAGATTCCGGCTGGATGACAAGATCTACACAAAGACAACACTCAATCACCCTAGAAGAGATATTTGTAGACTTATATCGAAGCTAAGGGTGAAAGAGCGGCTGCGAGACTACAAACACCAAGTCATCATCTGTGAGTGCGGAGAAGAATGTACCACCAACCATGTCCTGGTAGACTGCGAGGTATACCAGGAGGAGAGAAGGGAACTAGTGAGAACAATGGAGACCAACAACATACCATTCAACACTAAGAACCTACTCTTCCCGAGACCAGATCTGAAACTGCAAATCTTCGAACAAATCCACGCCCTAATGGACACAGTTGGACTAAGTAGAATAGTGAAGTAAGAGGGGGTCACGGTTAGACGGGCCCGGCATCTAAACACTAAACTACATAGGGGATTTATACCAAACTGGCAGGATAGTGGAGTAAGGGGGAGTCACGATCAGACGGACTCGGCATCTAAACACTATTCCACCAAAAACAGACACCAAACCTACAGAGTGGGATAGTGGAGTAAGGGGAGGTCACGATAAGACGGGCCTTGCACCTAAACACACACCCCACAAAGATGACATCTACCAAACTAGCAGGATAGTTGAGTATGGGGGAGTTACGGTCAGACGAACTTGGCACCTAAACACTATTCTGCAAATAAAACTGATACCAAATCCAGATAGTGGGATAGTGGAGTAAGGGGAGGCCACGATAAGACGGGCCTGGCACCTAAACACTAACCCCAAACGATGACATCTACCAATCCAGAAGCAGACGAGATCATCTACCAAACGATATGTTTTATATTAAATAAAGGGAAGAACTTCCCACTAAACCAAATCCATGGACTAAGGCCAAATGGAAAGATTGCAAAATCATATTCTAAAAAACAGGAATCAGCTTCGGCTCTCCTATGTCTTGTCTGCGATATCACTTATGTGGAAGCAGACGTTAAACACCAAGAACGAACGAACGAACGTTATAAATCATTATTTGCTTGATAACGATATTTGTATCTGTATGGAAACGTAGCATGTTAATAAATTCAGAAGTAGTATATCCATTTAAGTGTTTTTAATTACTATATTCTATAGCGAACGTTAATAAATATTATACCCCTTCCCCAATCTCGCTGTAAACTGCAGTTTCGTTCTATCGTAGTGATTATGTTATTCTGCAACCAACGTTAACAAAATTATACACCACCCCTCCCCTTTATTGGTTATCTGACTGCCGTATTGTAGGCCTACACGAATTTGAGGATAAAATTGTTTAAAATGTATAAATCTAGACCGAACCCACCCTCTCGTGGTTGACTATAATGTTAATTCTATTAAACCATATTGGATTATATACACTATTTTAATAATCTAAACACGGCCCCTCTGCGTTTCACCGTTTTCTGACCAAGCAGTGTAAAGGTCGGTGGTCCTAGCCACGGTGGTGGCGTATAAAATTTTGTATGAGGTGAAGGCCGTAAGTCAAGGTCAAACGTCCAAAAACTGACTTTGAAAAGACAGTAAGAAATAAGGCCAGGGCAAGCATAAACGCAAATGCCCCGAGATAGAGGGGAAGTTTGGACTCAAAGTCAAAGTCAAGGTCACGGTTGGTTGGCGTTGACTAGTGGAGGTCACCACGACCTTTCACACTGACCACGCCTATTGACTTCCTTGCGGACACGGGCTCTCTGCGTTTGACCGTGTTTTGACCGAGCAGTGTGCGATAGGACCAAGGTGAACGTCCATGGTTCAAGCCAAGGTGATGGCCTTTGGAAATGGTCGTAAGTCAAGGTCAAATGTCTCAAAACTGATTTTGAAAAGTTTGAGTTCAGTTTTCTGTAACATGACCATGACCCACGACTTTGACCCATTTATCTTTTATGAAGGACATCGTCTCTGCTTTCATCCCGAGCATTAACTTTGATAATACAGCAAGAAATAGGGGCGCAGCACTTATAAGCGCAAAGCCCCCGAGATTGATGGGAAGTTTGGACTCATGGTCAAAGTCAAGGTCACGTTGGTTAGCGTTGACTAGTGGAGGTTACCACGACCTTTCATATTGACCGCGCCCATTGACTTCTTTTCGAACACGGGCCCTCTGCGTTTGCATGTTTTCTGACCGAGCAGTGTGCGACAGGACCAAGGTAAACGTCGATGGTTCAAGCCAAGGTGATGTCCTTTTAAAATTGTTACGAGGTCAAGGTCGTAAGTCAAGGTCAAATGTCCCAAAACTGACTTTGAAAAGTTTGCGTTCAGTTTTCTGTAACATGACCTTGACATACGACGTTGGCCCTTTATCTTTTCTGAAGGACGCCGTCTCTGCTTTCACCTCGAGCATTAACCTTGATAATACAGTAAGAAATAGTTCCATGGCAAGCATAAACGCAAAGGCCCCGAGATCGATGGGAGGTTTGGATTCAAGGTCAAAGTCAAGGTCACGGTTGGTTAGCGTTGACTACTGGAGGTCACCACTACCTTTCATATTGACCGCGCCCATTGACTTCCTTTCGAACACGGGCCCTCTGGGTTTGACCGTTTTCTGGCCGAGCAGTGTGCCACAGGGCCAAGGTAAACGTCGATGGTTCAAGTGAAGATGATGGCCTTTTAAAATGGTTACGGGGTCAAGGTCGTAAGTCAAGGTCAAATGTCCCAAAACTGAGTTTGAAAAGTTTGCGTTCAGTTTTGTGCAACATGACCTTGACCTACGACTTTGACCAAATCAACTTTTCTTAAGGGCATCTTCTCCGCTTTCACCCCGGACATTAACCTCGATAATACAGCAAGAAATAGGGGCGCAGCACTTATAAACGCAAAGGTCCCGAACTTGATGGGAAAATTTGAAGTCAGGGTCAGCGTCAAGGTCACGACAATATTTACACGTAAAGGCCAATCCATCTGGTCAACGCCAAATAGTATTTCATAGAAATTGGTGGCTTAGCGCAAAATTTAAAATATACGAAAATTATTATTAAATTTTATGAACTGCAGTGTTAGGCAGCTAGAGCAGTGTGTCGGAATCCGTCTTAGTGTCTTGTTATTCGAGTCTAAATCGTCAACAAAGAAAATGGCGACGAACGGATGAACTTCTCTCCCGTTAGAAATTAAAAGGTCTGTAAAATAAAAAGTTATTGATCGATTCGGCTGAAATTTGGTGTGCGGTCATTGCTAGTCATTCTTAACATCCCCTGACGGGAACTCGTAGAGGTGCGAAAGTGCTATAGCGCCGAGCCAGGCTATCCTGAAATGTATTAATTTGAGAAATAGGAGACGCATTGAACATACTACGGCCTATTGTGTTTATTTACAAACCCGTTAATGTAGATTTTTCATTATTTATCATATTCAATTCAAAATGGTGACCATCAGTTGACCTAAATCAAAATTCTGCCCTGAACGTTTTTTACGCATTCCTTCAAGGATTCAGAAAATGTAACTCCCATGTCTGTTAGTAAAGTATCGCAAAAGCCTTAGGGATTTTTCACGTTTCAAGATGGTTGCACTTCCGGCTCTATCGATAGTCTTCATATTTTGTGTCTGCATCAGTAATTCCTCAGCTAATAACAAAAAACATTTTCAATGCAATCTGACATATATTTTGTAGATTTTTTTTTAAAGTTTGATTCTTAATTTCTCTAAGGGGAGATAAGTTAGACAGTTTCAAGTCGCATCGGTAAGATCTACTTACATTCCAATTTTCATGAAAATCGTGCAACTATTAAAGAAGTTGTCAAGTTGGTCTTAACTTCCGGAACGAAATCACAGCGACGAATTTTCAAAATTCGAAAATCTGAAGTTGCAGGTGAAAATGACTTTCGTCTAGGTACTCAAAGAAAAAAGAATTAGAAAAGTAGGTCAAAAAACAACAAAGTTATGACTATGCATTGTTAGTTTTTTCGTTCGTAAAATTCTATTTCGAATTCGTAAAACGTTAACAGAAACAATAAGCTTTCATATGATATAATAATAATAATAACTTTTACAAAAACAATAAGCTTTCATATGAAATATGAAAGCTTAATAATCTACGCAGTGTGAAACCCTAATAATAAGAATAATAATAGTGTTTCACACAAGCAAAGCAGTGTGAAACCCTGATAAGAATAATAATCTTAACAAAAACAACAGTGTTTTACACAAGCTACGCAGTGTGAAACCCTAATAATAATCTTAACAAAAACAGTAGTGTTTCTCACAAGATATTATACAGTGTGAAACCCTAAAAAATGGAAATCTTATTCTTTACTATTTTTTAAACAAGCTGTTTCCATGCACGACACGGTCATGGAAATAGACGGAGAACAGAGAAAATCGATATTGCTCATCCTCTCATTGTGTGAATGCTTCACACAGAATTTGACAAAAATCCATTATTAACTGTAATCTCTATCGCTTTAACAAGGTTTCCGGAAAAGGGGGTAACTCCGGAACGGGTGGTCGCAGAAAGCTGAATATCAACAGGGTTATTCCTCTCATGACGGCACTGCTTTACACAATAATATATGAAATAAATCCGTTAAAAAATGTAGTCTATATCGTGGGCGTATTAAAATGAATTCATCACGGGGAAAATATTAGCGAATATAATTTATTATAGGACGGAACGTAAGAACATTTTTATGAAAGTAACGGACATACAGATATACGTACCATGTTATATAAACCACTATGTATTGGCGGCGGATAGGTTGTGTTCCGTTTGCTGGGTAACACAGCTTCTTTTTCTTCATTCATTTTTTTGTTAGATGATATTATCCTGGGTTAATATCTGTATTACTGTTCACTTCACAAATAATCAATACAGGTCTTAAATACTGGTTTAGTCACTACAACTCAAGAACACAACTCGCTTCTCACAAAATATTCAGTAAATTAATAGATATCCGTCAGTATATTTTATTTAATTAACATGGTTCTCATGGCTAACACGGTTTACATCTAATCTAATCCAGTATCATCAATATCTTGAAGTTTAATAAAAAAAAAAATTTCTGTCACAATCGGATAATATACGAAACACAAAAAGCGATATAATTTGGCATTCTTAATACATACTTATTGTATTCAGCTTCAGAATCAGCTTACTGGAACCATACTCAGACAGAAATTATCTTACAAATGATGCCTGTAAATATTCAACTAGTACCATTATCTACATGGGTATATCTAAGTCTTACAAGATCTAACAGTATTTCATTCCAGACTGGGACTATTCCTGAAAATGCCACCTTATCAGAAGAATAGCTAAATGTATCTGATACAGATATTAAGACGTGATTAATTAGATATCTAATCTTGACCTTTAGCAAAAACTAGGGATAATAATGACAGAAGAAAGGATGAACTCAATCCTACTACACTTAACTCACACAAGTCTAACCTTTCCACAGGACTATAACAACATCTTTATCATAAACAGACGACGCCCCAAAAGCCAACCCACAATCCGGATTATATTTGTATTTTTTTTCCGACTAAAAAGTGATATGTCGTTTGTTCTTTTAAATCCAACACGCGTACAAAACAAACGTACAAAGCATGTGCTCAAGGCAATGAGAACATATTTTGATAATCAACCAACATTTTGTCCTTTAAGACTTTTTTTGTGGCTGTGTATTTTACCCAATATTTCAAAATCTACACTGTACACCGGTTCCTTCAAAATTATATCGTGTTCCACACAAAGAACATAATAACAAAATTGAGTTTAAATATGACCTATAGAAACTTTAAAAACCTTAATTAAGTGATCCATGATAATTATATTTTAATGAATTGTGTGTAAAAGACCCTTAGAAACGTTCTCAGTAGTGCGTTTTTATTTCGATCGACAAAGGTTTCCCAAATTAACATCTGTAGTAGTCGCGTTTCTCAAGTCGCATTGTGCCCGAATTCTTCATAAGTTACATAACTGTGTTCAGCTGGTTTTGATGATCATTTCGGAATGGCTAAATATTTTGAGCTAAGCATTTCAGAAAAGGTAAAAAAGCCTTTTCGCCAAATTATTATCCCCACTTGTATCAACGGATATCCCATAAAATCTAGAATCGTCGCTTTTATGATAGTATTATTAATAGTGTTACAGAATGTGATAATCATGTATTGCACGCCCACCATTGATGCCAAGAAGGAATCCGTATCAATTGATTTGACTAGTAAAACATTCGACATCTGTTACCATGTATTAAAAAGAATTTTTTAAAAAATAATTGTAAATTATCATTGGTTTTTGGAAATTTCCGCGTAAATGTGCTTAAACGAACCCCTGAAAAGATTTTTCCTCTCGACTTTTGTAAATATTTAAAGATATTACAAATAATTACATAAGACATTTAGCGATTTGTTGTCACATTTTGTAATGACATTATCACAAACTTTGAAAAAATTGAAACAAATTTCGAATGTATAAAAAAAAGGTTAAACAACCCGGGTTTGCTTTTCTGTTGCGACCAAATTTTATTTTCAAAGCCAATAAATCATTTCGTCTGATTTCATTTTTTCATTCAGCTTTCCGATAGTTAGCTATGTCGGGCCCGAGTCTGTTTATGCTTTCTCTATCTAGAAATTTTGATATCAATTGTAAAAATAATTGTAAATTATCATTGGTATTGGGAAATTTCCGCGTAAGTGTGCTTAAACGAACCCCTGAAAAGCGTTTTCCTCTCGACTTTTGTAAATATTTAAAGATATTACAAATAATTACATAAGACATTTAGCGATTTGTTGTCACATTTTTGTAATGACATTATCACAAACTTTAACAAAATTGAAACAAATTTCGAATGTATAACAAAAAAGGTTAAACGACTCGGGTTTGCTTTTCTGTTGCGACCAAATTTTATTTTCGAAGGCAATAAATCATTTCGTCTGATTTTATTTTTCATTCGGCTTTCCAATAGTTAGCTATGTCGGGCCCGAGTCTGGGTATGCTTTCTCTATCTAGAAATTTTGATACCAATTCTCATTTGAGGCGTTCACGTGGCTACTATTTGACCATTATGTGGACCGAAAACCTAATGATCTAATTTATTGTACTTTTACAATACATGTATTATGCTTCATACGTCGCAGATTTTCAGTGACCAGTTTTATACACAGTACAATATTTACTTCTTCTTATAACGATTCATAACTCTTAATCAAACATACGACTTCCACCACGAATCATTAGAATTGGCCTTGTGGTTCTTATCTTTTATAGAAGTTTCTTCTCACTTACAATCTGAAGATCAAAAAAGGGCCATCGACGTCTGCCGATTGACACTGGTGGCCAGACAGGGCCACGTGACCACATATTTCAGACATTATTATTGACAAGCGAGTTATTAACTATTGTCTTCCTTCGTGTTCTTTGTTAATAAGATAGAAACCAATCTAAGTGGTGTCAATCTATATCACCTAAACGCTCAATAATATCTCACGTACAAATCTTTATTATCGACATCAAAATTTGTTAGCATAATACATTGGTACCAGTAACGACTCCACAAAAGACAACATCGTAAAAGAAAACGCAGAAACGTCAATGTGGATACCATGTAAGAGAAAATTGAAGATAAACACGAGATATATTTTGAGTGTGTGTAACACGGAAATATAATATTAATAACAAATGGAGTTATCTCATAAATCAACATTGAAATAACAGTATGATCGATATTCATAGAGTTTGTTATATCTTAACCAAGTCATTTCCGTTTGTCAATTATAATAGATATATTTGTAAATGCCATTCTTAATTGCAACATACAGACCGTAAATCTGTTAAGCATGGTATTATGATGAAACATGCTTGACTGAAGCACTAGTTTGTTGTTCGTTATCCATCAGATATAGAATTAGTAATTTAATAATGGCACTTTTATTAATAAAAACGCCGGGAGTGTGGTTTTTTGTGAGCCTAATTCGTTTATAACAATTCAAAATCTTGGGAAATAGATTCTAACAAGCTGTCTTTCCAAATAACGATCGGTTTCATATTGGCGAACAACGAGCGGGTTTATTGTTCAGTATTCGCGAATAGGGAATAGGGAATACGCAAGGAGTAGGGGTTTAATGAGCCTAATTGATTTATAACAAGCTGTCTTTGTACCCGAATAACAAGCTCTTTCATATATACCAGTCTCAAATATACCAGTACCGTGTTTACGATAATAAACAATCAATGTGTTTAACTTAAAATAATTTCGATGAAATGTTCAATATATTCATTTTTCATTAACTTTTTTAAAACTATTATAGGAAGAACGGCCAGCTCTTTATCTAAATCTTACATCATGTATCTGTAACTGGATATGTAATTTAGAACACAGACTTATATTATGATCCGCCATGACAAACATAACTGGACGTAGTACTGGTGAAATTAAAATAAAATCATAACTATCCATGTGTGGATCTAATGAATTCAGTAGGCATATGCAAATTTGGTTAGTTACATGCTCAGAACATAAATGGACGTAGGACTGGTGAAATTAAAATAAAATCATACCTATCCATGTGTGTATCTAATGAATTCAGTAGGCATATGCAAATTTGGTTAGTTACATGTTCAGAATAAATAGGAATCGGTTTTTCAAAAAACATGTCTCAACCAGGATCAATTCTCTATACAAGCGATAATTGTATTTTACTAATTTTTTTTATATCCTGTTGCGTATATTAAAGATGCGTTATGTAAGAGATAAATCTACCTATTCTGTGTTTCTTTTTGTTTTACATCAAATGTTATATAAAATATTACTTAAACATTTATTCACACGACAAGCCCATAATCAACTCTCTGGAACATCGGCTGACTTAGATATTGAGTGGATTAGACAGTGTCCACCATATCTGCGTTAAACAGCTGCATCGATGCACTCACGGAGACTGCCGACAGAAGGCTTAGAAATCTAGATTTCATTAATTTTTGTTGCAATGGTACTTGTCAATCGAGAATATTAACTGTCAATCGGAACTTCGCTCAGAATAAAGGGATTTAAAATGTTCAATATATTCATTTCTTCATTATCATATTTTTGAACCATTATAGCAAAAAAGGTCAGCTCTTTATCTAAATCATACAGTTACACACACAATGCCCCTTTAATACTGTACATCGCCGCTATATCTTTTTGTATACAGTAATTATTTATGCAAAAGTTAACTTACTGTCACATCGTATTTATTATCAATATTACAAATTGTTTCACACAATCCATATATAAAATAAATGATTCGGTTAGTTTCTTATTGCTCCCGAGGTCAGCCATTCTCACTGCGAACGTATAAAACATTTGCGGTCCTTTAAGACTTATTCTGACGCTATCGGATCAACGTATCTTCGTGTATGGATGTACACCTTTCTATTTGCTCGTAAGCTAAATGAGTACACACGTACATGGAATAAAGGACAATTTATCTAATAAAATAATCTACTCCATTGTTTTGCATAGAAACTTAAAAGTCTAATTACTACCAGATCCAATCTGATTAAAATACAGAACTATATTTCGTTTCGGTTTTTTTAAAATACTTTTGATGGCCTCTACTATATTAAGATCTGACCGGTTGTAGTGGAAGGTCTAGTCAGAGGTCATACGAGCGGATTTTGACCCTATGACGTCAGGCATGTGATTAACCAATCAGCATTGATGTGTCTAGTGGGTTACCCACAGTTCCGTGCGCCTCACGCCAAAAACTCGCCGTAACAGACCGTTTCATTGGCCAATCCCTTACATCACATAGAACGCGGGTTATATAACAACTCTTCCAGACCCTAGTGTATCAAAGACAAGTAAAACGAAATTTTGAACTATAAAAAAAAACGAAACGAAATACGACCTGTGTTTTAATCAGATTGTTCCAAATCTAATTTCAGATATTCATTGTACAGTAACAAGATATAGACTTGTATTGAAGTCCCCCCCCCCCCCCCAAACAACCACTCCCACTCCACCTTCCAATTACGCGGTGTGTGTTTGCAAAAATTTATAATTTGGAAAACAACAAATCTGAACAGAAATCAGGCGTTTATTCGCATGTTATAAGAACAGGTAAATATTTAGGCTTACAACGAGTAAGTTTGGAAGGAGATATGTGAATATAATGTCGTTTAATGTATTACGGTCATATTGCACAGTTGGTCAAATATTTCAACAATAATAGTAGAAATTCCAAAACAGTTTTACAATTAAATATTGGACTGTAAATACAAACTTGTTTATTTCCAGAACGTGTTTAAAATAATTGTATAGTTTTAATTAGAAGGTTATGTTAACATTTTGATTAGCATGTTTCAGATGCAGCAAGTATGCTAACGGGCTACCTGGTACAAATTCTCATATGATGAGATCATTACCAACTAATTTATTTTTTTTTACATTAAAACTAGTTTTATGAAACTAGACATATCGAAGGTCATTATCAAAGAATAATCGGTACTCGTAGTAAAGTCCTAAGTGATGCTATTATGAAAGGTCGAAAAATTTGTTTATACTATCTATTTGTTTATAGATAATAATATCAACCTGTTCATAATATCTGTTTTCGAAATTTCTAAAATATCCCTGTGTTGATTATTTATTAACCTGGGTTATTGGAAGTGCAACAGACTGCTTCTTAGAAAGTCAACAATTCCTCATGCTAAAATTAAACATAGGGAAAGGCAGTCTATATTATTATTATCACCTCATAGTACTGTGTGCATAAACTAATTATTTCAATTGCTTGATAATATTTAGGGTGGGATGGGGTGTTCAAACACCGCTTCCTTACTTTCTCTAGGCTATTTACAACACAACCCTATCTCAACCCTAGTAATAGTAAACTTTTACATGTACGGTATATTTAAAATAAGCTATAATAAGAGCATTGCTAGCTAAGAAGTTATCCAAATGGTCTCTAAACATAAATCCAACATTCGAATTAAATTTGAAATGTTAAAACAAACACTAAAAACAAACTAAGAAAACAAATAGAAACAATCTACTTGACAAGGTGGCATTTTCTGAATAGAGTAGATTCTTTATGGATACAATTTACCACTAAGTTCGTCACAAACTCAGTATCTCGTCAACATTACACGTTATCCTTGTAATAGTCAATATAAACAGCAGTGTTTACTTACAAAAACTGGAATATAATCACACTTAATCAATGTTGTTATTTCCATCACTACCTAATCACTAATAAACAATATACTTCTCTTCACAACTCAACACTTTACTTTACTAAAACATTGAAATCGAGTCTAGTTCCCATCGATTTCATTATGGAACATCTACAACTCACTACAATAAACGAATATCCAGACTGAAAACACATAACCGCAAGTAGAGGTTTTTAAAGTAGAAAATGGTTGGGCCTAGCTGTTCGTTTATTGATACAAGCTCGGTATCTCGGGTTTGGAGGTTGATTTAGGTAAACGAATGCGACACTCAAGCTAACATAGGAAAGTTGTCTAAACTTAAACGCCCTCTCTGTCTCATAAAAACAAAAACGAAATAGCAAACTAGATGACGACAAACCAAGACTAGGCACGTTTCTGAAGTCTTTATTTTCTTCCCGATCATGTTTTTTGGAAAGGAAAAATTCATTAACCATGTTGTTAATTGTAAAACACCGGGTTGTTTTCATAAACGTCTATGATATTTTAGATGTGCTCGTCTCGGGTCAATCGATCTTTAAAAATGAAAGATTGGTGATGAAAGTGAGAGACGGGAGTGTGGATTTAAATGCAATTTGGGTATATCTTGGCATCAAAAGATCTAATTTACTTAACGTATGCAAACAGCCAATCAAACAATAGCCAAACAGTAAATGCATTTGGTTTGTTCGTTGAACGAATTCTTTTGGTCAACGGTTTCTATAATTTAATATCAATCAATATTAGAATCAGGGCTTTTCCCGTTTCAAAAACAAATATATATATAAAGAACAAAGATATCTGCATTGGTGGACGTGTCACATACAATATAGACATCACACCCAATGAAAATATTTTACGAAAAAAACATGTAAAGTCTTTTTTTCTGTTGAGAAGATCGATGCATGCTTTAGAACTTTCTCAGTATTCTAATGTAACTGCGATCTATTAGACAACGTGACAATGAAATGTTCCACTGACATTACCATAGTAAATTCGATTGTATGATGACGATAATTCCAACAAAAGGAAGAGAAAGAAAGTTGGCCAACATGCACCACAATACAATTACTTTAAGCTTGTAATCATCATCGTGTCCAAATCCTTTAGTTTGCCAGACTTCCTTATAATAAGACCACCTCCTCTTGGTCCCTGTTTTAATTTGCTTCGCTATAAACCATAGACCGTTTGGAAATATAGTTATATTTACAAACCTACACCAAAAATATTAAACAAAATATTTACTAACCATATGTCAATTAGAAGTTTAAATGACCCCTTTCCGGTAAGTTTCTGTTTTGATGTTCTAGAGTGGCAAATTCCATCGCATCCCACCTCCAAAAATTCATCTTTGTGTTGTGATAGACTTCTGCGTACAACTAAGCTATTTCTTTGAATCACGCTTTATAACTCTATAAAACTGGTTTATAATGGTTCTTTTGAATTAATATATTTTCTAACAATGTCAGTTAGAAGGGCAAATGACCCTTTTCTGGTGAGTTTCTATTTTGCTGGTCTAGCATGGTAAATTCCATCGCATCGCACCTCCAGAAATTCATGTTTGTGTTGTGATAGATTTTTGCATACAATATAAGCTATTTTCTATAAATCACGGTTTATAACTCTATAAAACTGGTTTCTGACCCTTACAAATTGCCATGTATCCACCCTGTAAAGGAGATGATAATACTTAAATCTGATGTCAATCTAACCTCTGGTGTTAACAGCAAAGGAGTTCTCCTGGAAGACAAGTTCAAGTCTGTACGTGACAGACCGATAAACAAGCCCATGGTAATCGTGACCAGAACAACAAATCCACGCATATTGGTAATGGTGACTTCAACAAACCCACGCATAGTGGTAATCATGACCGGGACACGCCCACGAATATTGGTAATAGTGACACAAGCCCACGGATATTGGTAGTCGTGACCCAGGTCCACGGTTATTAGTAAGCGTGGCACATGCCCACGGATGTTGGTAAATATAAAGACCCAAGAGATAATATTCGATATAGTTATTAAACTAAATATATTCAGTAGTTGTAAAGTAATATAAAAACATCCAAAGTCATGGGTTTTATTCTCATCCCTGAACAATTAACTTCTTTGAGACGGCCACAAACGGTAATCATCTCAACGATATAGCAACGCGCAGATTAGTAGATCCGTTCTACCGTGGTTATAATCATTTTTAAAAGAACGCCAAAATGAAAGTGTTGTTTGTTGTAGAAGGTACACACTCAAAATTCATGAATCTTCAGTTCGATATTTTGAATGATTTCCCAAAGCTAGAAAATTCACCGGTAGAACCATATTTACTCTTCCGTTAAAGCAAGAAGGCAAATAGATAATTTATAATTATTATTCAATCGTGAAATTACATTAAAAAATATTTGGTAAAAATGATAACTAGAAAATTGATATAGATGTGCGGAATCCTTCCCCAATTAGTGACCGGCTTGTAACTGAAAACATTAAATTTCGCCCAATCAATGAAGTTTTATGCGTTTCGGCAAATGCGAACGATGCTGTAAACATGTCACCATTTCCTATTTCGCCAACGTATTTCAGTCTATACGGGATTCATCGTCACCAATGAAATGTGTGTCAAAATAAACAGTTTCAACCAATCTTACCTGAATTTGTTGCCGTGTCACAGGGTGGATTTTTTTGACTGGGTTCGGATGCTTCACTTCTCTCGGGTGCCTCTCCATTTTCTTAATATAAAGCTGCAATTAGTTTAATCCTAATTATTAATCCGATTATTGTACTTAGAACGACAAATCTGTAAACAATTTAAGGAAATATCATAACACAATTGTTTCCTTTGATGTGGGTGTTTAACTGATCGTTTTATCTATTTTTTATATGTGCACCATCGAATTTACAGTTTTCGAAAATTAGGGGAACTGTTTTAAAACGAAATAACTATGATGAAAATGGTCTTCGGAGACAAGAAAAGTAATTATATTCCGTAGTGAAAGAAAATATTCTTGGTCGCCAATGTAGATTTAAAAACAGCAAAGGAAAATTTGTCATAGACCCGTCAGTAAACTCGAAGCACGTTAAATCCTGCAAGAAAAATCCAAAACACATGAAGCTTACACCAAACGATTTTTTTTATAAACTTTCTTATACGTGATGTGGTGTTATTTTGAATTTTATACAGCTACAATACAACAATGTGTGCGATGAAGTCGATACCTTGTACCCATTTACTGTCTTTTGTTGTTTTTATTTTGTTGACCAACCTTGATCATGTGTGATATTTTTCATGTTACCGGTAAGCAAACGAAACGACATCGAATCGGAAGTTTAAGCACGGCTGAACAAGTTCGATATTGAAAAGGCACAAAAAAGGAGGAGGTTATTGCTTTTAAAAACACACAGATCCAGATCAAGTTTGTTGAACATTGTTGCTACCCAAAACATAAATCATCTTTGCGACAAAACATGCAATTGCATAAAGCTTTGGTTTAAAGTGTATTAGATGGGGGGGTGGGGGCAAGTCAATAACATGTTGCCGGAAAATGTATGACCTTCAGATTGTTAAACACTATCTAGAGAAGTAGAGTGCATTTTATTTTTACTTTATCCGTTGGTATAGAGCTTAGTGAGGAGATTAGGTATCCGTCTTTGATGTTAGCAAAGAACAAGTTTAGAAATAGCCAGCAGGATCTTGGTTCAGATTAACTTCTGTTACATCTCATCTAGAATTCGTGGCTAGTCTTCAACTGTCTTCTAAAGTTTATTTGCCCAACTAGATTAGTAAAAGAAATATATTTAAATAATTAGTCTAGTAAATGTTGGTAGGATATTTTATACGTCTGTAAATAACGTTTTTTTATAGGTAAAGAGGGGTTAAACTTGCATCATTACTAAACTCCATTTCTCAAATTTCCATTCAATCAAGTGTGTTTAACATTTTTTTTTTTGGGGGGGGGGGGGGAATTATACGTATTAGACCAAACGAATTCAACTTTTATGGCTCATTTTTTGCCCATTTGACTTACATTGACTTGCACCATGGCAAAATGGTGTTGCGTTCCAGTCTTAGACGAAGGCTCAAAATAGATGTTCAATTTCTAAATCAATTACTTTTTTTTAAAATTATCTGTTCTGGTTAAAGATGCATTATGTAAGAGCTAAATTTGCCTATTGCAGGTTTTTCCTTTGGCCTTAAATGTTATGTAAATTATTAATTACATGACAAGCCCATAATCAACTCTCTAGGACATCGGATGGTCTCGATTTTTAATGGATTGAAATACGAGCCCCATTTAATAATTTAGTCTAAAGATAGGTTGCATGGCAACGAAACATATGGACACAGCAGTTAAATCGTCCGGGCAGTCAACAAGAGTTGTCGTATATTTTTACTATGGTCGGTAATGAAACATTTATAATACACTTAAATCTGATTAAGAGTAACAACTATCAGAAAAACATTAAAATTTGTTTGACCCATGGTAACGTTTAGTATACAAAACATTTAATATTACGGATTTAGCTATTCAAGTTATGAAAAATCATTGAAAATCAATATACATGTACTTGTTCGTCTCAAGACCTTGAACTCTGTGTATCAAACTAAAGTTAACCGAAACGATTATATATAGGCGTAAACACGGTGTATAAATATAAAATCAATCAGATGGTAACTATAGTCTCTAAAACATCCACAACCTTTTTCAAAGTGATCAAGGGCCACAACTCTGACAGTAATTATCGGAAATCTTTGAAAATCAATAGGTTTCTTCGTCTAATGACCTTAAACACCGTGTATGAATTTAAAGTCAATCGGAGATTGACTTTAGCCTCTAGAGCGTCCACAAGATTTTTCAAGGTGATCAAGGGCCATAACTCTGGCAGTAATTATCAGAAATCGTTGAAAATCAATAGGATTCTTTGTCTCATGACCTTTAACAAGGTCCATAACTCTGACAGTAATTATGGGAAATCGGTCGTCTTCGTCTCACGACCTTAAACACTGTGTATGAATTTAAAGTCAATGGGATATTCACATGAGTCGCTAGAACGTCCACAGGCAATTGTGGACGCCGGACCGACGGACGGGCCGAAGAGCGGGGGCGACGACGACAATATACGACCACATTTCAATGTGGACGTATAAAAATGGATAATCGAGACTTTGTGTATTATTCGTAACAATGGTAGCATTGAAAATCGGGACTACGCTATTCTTATCAAAACTTCCAACATTCATAACTTCGCTCAGAAAAAAGGAGTTGGCTGAAATTTCAATATATTCCCTTTTCATTATCTATTTGTGAACTATAATAGCAATA